TCAATCAACACACAGTTTACTAGACTCTGGTAGGAAGAATTAATCGTTGCTTAAATCAACACACAGTTTACTAGACTCTGGTAGGAAGAATTAATCATTGCTTAAATCAACACACAGTTTACTAGACTCTGGTAGGAAGAATTAATCGTTGCTTAAATCAACACACAGTTTACTAGACTCTGGTAGGAAGAATTAATCGTTGCTTAAATCAACACACACACACAACTTACCAGAGTCTGGAAGGAAGAAATATAACGTTACTTCTATCAGCAGCAACAGACAACCGAAGGCAACAAAAGGAAGTTTAAATCCACCAAGCTAGAAATATGAATACATGTATCACTTTCAAACAAGCAAAAAATAACTTGCGGTTAAATATAGAGCTGTTAAAACCTTAGAAAATGTACTGGATAATTCACTTTATGCTCAAAAAGCTTTTGGAAGAATAACAAGGTCGATAAAGTCTGTGGTAGTATATGTGAAAAACTCAAGTTGTTGCCGTTAGACGAGAAGCACTTTCTAGAATATAATGGGGTTTATTGACATCATCAAATATTATTATAACATAAAGTCATTGTACAAACGTGTACCTATCTATGTATCTGATAAGTCCTCTATCATATATTTATATATAGGTAGGTTGTTTTCCCTGCTGTGTAATAACTTAAGATTGAAGGGTCTTCTGTATACCAAGATACAACAAAAACTAAACGCTAGAAGAACTGAATGTTTTCTTTTTTGTGTCAAGATCCTTGATAAAATGAAATATCTTAGCTCTTCCATGCTAGAAAACTGTACAAGTTTAATGAATTAGTTGAGAATAGTCTAATATCTACAATGTTGAATTATTCTGTAAATATAAGAACACAACTCCGCAACTTTCTCACATGAGCTATATTAATATTATTTCCTCGAAAGTGGGCCGAAATACTCCTGGAGGGGTCACCTGTTTTAACCACTTGCACCACTATACAGTAGTGTTGTCTGTCAGTCAGTCAGTAGACACTAAAATAACGCTACCTAAGGAACCTCGACGTAACAATTTGTACTGTCGTCACAGGTCAGTAAAACTGTGCTCTGCCCACCGCGGGTATCGAAACCTGGTTTCTAACGTTGTAAGTCCGCTGACATAGCGCTGTGCCACTGGGGTGTAAGAGTAAGGGAAGGGGCATCCTTAACAAATTTAGACATTTCCTTCTATACAAAGAATGCAAGTGATTTACCTTAGCCTAAATGGAATTTGTAAAACGATGTATTGAAAACCGAGGAGAAGCTTAGCCTATCTCACAGTAATATACTGTTAAGTTGTAAACGACTTGGGTAAGTCATTTAAAAAAAAAATCTCAAATTAGTGGACCTTTTAGACTTTTAAGAATATTGGAGTGGTTTTTCACCCACCCACCTCTGGTACCCACCTACTGACTACGCCCCTGATACACAATACTCCTCTTTTTAAATAGTGTTTTGAAATATACTATCTTATAATGAATTGAAATTTGCGTATGAATAAATCAAAATAATTTTGCAATATATATATATCAATAAACAATGATCTGAGTTTCGAGTCATTCAGTCGATCCTGACCGGCTAGAAGTCCCGTGGACCCACAATAATTCCGAAAAAAAATATAATAATCGTGAATGCAATTGTAGGCTTATCTAAAAATAATCAGTTTAGGCTACCCTATTTGCACGAAGAAACACAAAACTCTGTATATATTTCGACACTAAAAGTATTTTATCTTGCTACCAAACGTGCATTTCTATCCTTTTATCCTAAAACCAAAGTTGTGTTTTCCTTTCGTTAAAATATCTCCTTTACTCCAGTCTCCCAAGTGGAGTCTCCAGCTTTCTAAGGATCCCTGGTCAATTTTCAAAGATTTTTGAGAAATCCCTATGACGTCTGAACTGAAAAGGAGGTTCCTGTAACATGTGAACGGTGGAATCCATCCAAACAAAATGTGACCCGTATTATCATCTGAATGGAGAAACACCTTACTTTTAGGTTAATATTAACATAGTGATCTCAGTTCGCGATATTTTTGTGTTTATCTGGATTAACAAAAAGGTTATGTATATCCCAAGAGTAATGTAATCCAAAACGGGTGTTTTACATTACAGAGTTTTGGTTAAAGTTACACATATATTCTTTAAAAGATGCACTCTGCAATTGATAAAATGGGATTACACAAACATATATATATATTCTTGCAGTTGTACAGTTAAACCTAATGGAGACCAGTTAGAATCTTTATGATGGACCATTAAATTTTTTTTATACAAATTTTCGATACATATTCTACTTCAGTTCCTCGTAGTGGTTGGAACTACAGCTTTCAAATTTTATAACTGACGATTCGGAGAAGTTGTCATTGGAAAAAGTCAGTATTTGTTAGGTGATTTTAGTACATTTTGTAACTGTTGTTTACTTGTTATGTTTGTGGAAGCAATTATAAGCGTATTCAACACGAATCAGACTAAAACAAATATATTTAAACGAAGAAGCAAAATTACAAGACAGTGGACCTTCTAGATTTTTAAAAATTTGGGGAGTAGTAATTTGACCCCCGACTCCCACCCCTCGCTATGCTCGCCTCTTCATTTTTTTTTTAAATTGTGTTTTGAATTAGACTTTCATATAAAGAATCGAAATTTTAATTCGAACAAACCAAAAATAAATAAATCGGGGTCCCAGATCTGCTAAAAGGCCCATGGGTCGACTAGAATGGCAAATTAATACTAATTAAATCCTTGAAGCAATTATAGGCATATTCAAAATGAGTCAAGCTTGAACAAGTATCTTTAAACGAAGAAACAAAAACCTTTGCTTGTATTTCGATACTAGAAGTATACATTACCTCATACAACAGTCCTCCCAAAGTTGGGCTAACCATAACTCCAGCACCGAGAAACGTCTCTAAAATCGCCTGAAACACAAAATGTTGTTTTACTAAATGGGAAATATAAACCCGAAACTTTGAGACTTCACAAAAATATACCCGTCAATCTCTTACGTTCAAGCAATGAAATTTAGTTATACGACAGAGAAATATTCCACTGTTCAAAACAAATTATTGGCTTTTGACTGCTGCAGTGTCCTGGTAAGCTGCATGTGCCAAGGTTGTTCCCTGTTGACAAAAACAAGTCATCACTAGAAGAAAAAAAACGAAATTGTTTGATTGAAATGAGGGATCTTAACCAGTCTTTTGTGAATCGTTTTCCTGTGTTTGATATTGTTTGTTATGAATTTCTACCAATGTTACACGAAGATTATCTGTGCTAGCAGTCCCTAATTTAGCAGTGAAAGGCAAGAGGGAAGGCAATTAGTCATCACCACCCACCGCCAACTCTTGGGCTACTCTTTTACCAACGAATTGACCGTCACACCCCTACGGCTGAAAGGGCGAGCATGTTTGGTGGGACGGGGATTCGAACCCGCGACCCGCAGATTGCGAGTCGATCGTCCTAACCACCCAGCCAGGCTCGTCTTCCTACGAAACCAGTATTAAGTACAATAAAAAAATTAAATAATTTATCTCAGGAAGTATATACTGCCTGGTAAAGTGTTAGTTAGCATGGAGTTTTGTCCTTGCGGTCGTGATCGGAATGTATTTAGATATATCTTTGCAATGACAATGTATTGGTTAGAATTCTTCTATCTCCTTGAGGTCGTGGAATCACAGTAGCGCTCAGTTATATAAATCCGATGATTGTTCCTCGTTTTATAACCATGCTGTAAGATTATAATGATACAGTAGCATACCAGTGTATTGGTTAACACACGTTTGTATCCTTTAGAAAATACTTACGCAGTGACTTTCAAGTATAACAGTGCCGATTATGACATATATTTGGTTAACATAAAGGCATTCGTCTCGGCCCATCGGCAATTATAGGGTTACGTCAATGCGCTCCCAGAGTTGTTGCTTTTTTGTGTTTTACATCTATTTTTGTACACTCTTGGACCAAACAGTAGAGTTACATGGTTAAAGCTTTCGTTTCTGTCTTGGAAACAATAATGATGTAAGATTAAACAGATAAAATACAGATCAGTATATAATAGATATACATAAACCAGTGAGGACTTACAAAGGCGGTTGCCACGCTCGTGGGAAAGTTCTTGGCGATGATGGTGTTGGTTGCTGTGCGGGTAGCGGCACATCCGAGGCCTTCCGTTATGCGAATGGCAAATGCAGCCGCTATGAACGGTCTTCCATTTGGTGCTCCGTCCAGTATTCTTCAATAAACCCTCACATCTAAGTTACTTATATTTTGTGTTTTTTCACTCTTAAGAAACTAAGTAGACTCTATTGTAAAAGTATCAAGAAAACCAACAAACACATATTTTACTGTTACGATTCAATATCAATCGTTGCCATGGTATTTTTTAAACACACGAAAATTGGAAGAAGAGGGCATTTACCACTCCAGTAAAAAAAAAAAAAGACCCCTGCAATGAATAAAACAAATTCACGGAGAGACAAACATACGTTAAATCGTAATTCAAATTCCAGGGATTTTCCATTTGGGTGTGGACAACGAGTCCTTCCCTGGTGGAGAGAAAGGGAAATATGAAATGTGGTGCACACTACTGATGACAGAGTAAAGAACAACATGTAATAACACAACATAGGTTGAGCTCAGCTATTCGAAATGAAATTATTGAATCATCAGAAAACTTTTTTATCTGAACTCCTGCACATAGTTTGTTTTTGTTTGTTTTTAATTATGCACAAAACTACACAAGGGCTATCTGTGCTCTGCCCACCACGGGTATCGAAACCCGGTTTCTAGTGTTGTAAGTCCGCAGACATACCGCTGTGCCACTGGGGAGCCCTGCACATGGAACAAGAGGAAATGATAAAAGAAATAGTATATTCCTCGAATTGAAAAATTTCGTACAAGCTGGTAAAATTATTGTTTCGTGAATATTTCCAGAAAATAAATCAGTAATTTTTCGACGATCATACAGAGTAGTGACCTCTTATGGAGGAAGTTGGAGACATTCCTGTGAACTTTTAATAATAATTCTCGATTTACTCGACAATTCTGTAAGCTCTCACGTGTTTGCCTTGATGTCCTTCAACTAACTATTGCTGCAATCATAACACTCGCGCCACACAGTATGCTGCCGGAAAGATTAGTTTTATGTTCTAACTTAAAAGTATCTGCACATCACATGAACACCCAAAAAGAAGCCGCAAATGTAAGAATTGAGATTGCACTAAATGGTAGTGTTATGTTTAAGTTTTATCCTCATGAAGCTGTTGCTAAATTTCTTCTCGGCAAGGATAGACGATTTCGAGATCCAGTTGTAGAGATTTATTCTCAACGTGATTTTCTATCCTCATCATTAAAAGAAAACAAAAACTAGTGATCTAATTTCAATTAAAAAGCACTAATTAGTTTGAAAAAGTGTAAGTATATACATGAATATGCATTGTTATTTGTTATAAACTTAACTGTTAGTTGTTCATTGCCTCATGTCGTTGCAATGGAAAGAAAGAGTGAAGATGTTTTATGCGATATTGCAAAAAAGTGCACAATTTATTTGAATCGACTAAATTCAATCAGTTGACTGATGCGCAGTGAAAATATATTCTTCCTCCAGTTAGTTTTACTTTAAAAAGTCTCTGTCGTTATCATGGTTAATAGCCCATACCGGATCATCTGAGCTTAATGAATTACTGGTTAATTTGTTTCTTAATATGAGCTAGTATGTTCCGTTATGTCATTTTTATGAAAATGACTTTGAAGTGAAGTAGAATCGCATTTATAATACATAATAGATCACCTAAGCCTAATGAGTAACTGGTTAATTTTTTTCTTAATGTCAGCTACTATGTTCCGCTATGTCATTTTTATGGAAGTGATTTTGAAGTGAAGTAGAATCGCATTTATAATACATAATAGATCACCTAAGCCTAATGAGTAACTGGTTAATTTTTTTCTTAATGTCAGCTACTATGTTCCGCTATATCATTTTTATGAAAATGACTTTGAAGTGAATGATATTTCTAATTCCGTTGCACATTCAGTCAGAAAGAAAGTCCATTAGTTTTATTCTTTGTTATTTTTTTATTCTGTGTTAGTTGTATAGTCAAGTTAATCAAAGTTGCTTCTTTGAATTGCCTTTCGTCATAAATGGGTATTAATGTCAATGCTTTCTAAAGCATGAGTTTATTTTCACTTTCTAGGGATTTTGAGAATAAACAAAACGAGCGAATGAAACAAACCAACTTGAATTGTATCTGGCAGACTTTCACTCATTTGAAAGTTTAAGGTTTTAAAACAAGACACCGACATGATATTCCGTAAAAATATAAGAAGCGTAATAAACATACATTAAGCGGAACTACATAACTTTGTGTTACACTATATGAAACTATTCCAGTTTGCGGAATTACTCAAAATTTTACGTTTTCTTATTCTTTTCATCCTCAACTAAACGTAAACGGCATTCGCACAGAACTGATCATAACGTTTGTTTGTTTGTTTTATGAATTTCGCGCAAAGCTACACGAGAGCTATCTACGCTAGCCGT